TTAACATTTAATTTCATCTAATGAACATTCAAAATTTTCTAATAAGCATTTAATTCATTAAATTAACATTTAAATACGACTAGTTAACATTAAATTAATCAAATAAACTTTTTAATTCATCCAATCAACACAATATTCATTGAATTAGCTTTCCAAATCAAACGGGAAATATTCAATTTATCAAATTAACACCAAAGTAACATACAATTTCATCTAATTAACATTCAATTTATCAGATTAACACCAAAGTAACATGAAATTTCGTCTAATTAATATTTAATTCATCAAATTAACACTAAATTAACATTCAATTTTATCTAATAAGCATTAAATTTATTAAATTAATATTTAAATTCAACTAGTTAACATTAAATTAATCAAATTAACGTCAAATAGACATTCAATTCATCTAATTTATATTCATATTCATCCAATTAATACTCAATTAATCAAATTAACATCTAAAATTATTTAATAAATATTCAATTTATCAAATCAACACCAAAGTAACATGCAATTTCATCCAATTAAAATTTAATTTATCAAATTAACACCAAATTAACATTCAATTTATCAAATTAAAACCAAAGTAACATACAATTTCATCTAATTAATATTTAATTCATCTATTTAACACCAATTAATATTCAATTTTCATCCAATTAACATTCAATTTTATCTAACAAGCATTTAATTTATTAAATTAACATTCAAGTTCAACTAGTTAACAGAACTAGTTAACATTAAATTAATCAAATGAATGTCAAATTAACATTCAACTCACCTAATTTATATTCAAATTTATCCAATTAACACTCAATTAATCAAATAAATATCCAAAATTATTTAATAAATATTTATCAAATCAACATCAAAGTAACATGCAATTTTATCCAATTAAAATTTAATTTATCAAAGTAACATCCAATTCATCAAATTAACACAAAATTAACATTCAATTTCATTGAATTAATATTCAATTTTTTTTTCTGATAAGCATTTAATTTATTAAATTAACATTCAAATTCAACTAATTAACATTAAATTAATCAATTCAATTTCATTCAATTAACAGTCAATTCATTGAATTAACTTTTTCAAATCAAAAGAAAAAGATTCAATTTATCAAATTAACACCAAAGTAACATACAATTTCATCTAATTAATATTCAATTAATCAATTTAACACCAAAGTAACATGTTAAATTGATATTAATTTGCTAATTTTTCTGTTAATTAAATACTTTAGAGATAAAATTGACAAAATTGATACTTTATATATGAAACTAATAAAATATCCATAATTTAGTGATAAAAGTGTATTAATCCATTTTTGAAAATCAGGATTGGATGATATAAAATATTAATTTGATAAATTTAATATTAATTGGATGAAATTAATTGTTAATTTTATAAATTTAATGTGAAATAGTTGAAATTGAATATTTATTAGATGAAATTGAATGTTAATTTTGTTTTGATTTGATAAATTAAATGGTTATTAGATAAAGTTGCTTGTTAGTTTAGTGTTGATTTGATAAATTCAATGTTCTAAACACAAATTGAATACTTTAGGGGTCAAATTGATAAAATTGATACTTTAGGGATAAAACTGACAAAACTTCCACACTTTATGGATAAAACTGTTATTATTGGATTATAGTAGATATTAATTTGATGAATTGAGTATCAATTGAATGAATTTGAATATAAATTGGATGAAATGAATTCTAATTTGGTGTTAATTTGATGAAATTGAATGTCAATTTGATAAATCTTAATGTTAACTAAGTAAATTTAAATGTTAATTTGATAAATTGAATGTTTATTAGATAAAATTGAATGTTGATTTGGTATTAATTTGATGAATTGAATTATTAGTTGGATAAAATTGTATGTTAATTTGGTGTTGATTTAAATTTTTTTTTTATTATTTTAAATGTTAATTTGATGAATTGAGTGTTAATTAGATGAATTTTAATATGAATTGAATGTTAATTTGATGTTAATTTGATGAATTGAGTGTTAATTGGACGATATTAAATGTTAATTTGATGAATTTAATATTAATTTGTTTAACTTTAATTTTAATTTGATGAATTGAACGTGTTAATGTAATGTCAATTTGTTAACTGCTTGTTAATTAAATACTTTAGAGATAAAACTAAAAAAATTGATACTTTAGATATGAAACTATAAAATATCTATAATTTAGGGATAAAAATGTATTAATCAATTTTAGAAATTAGTCACGAGCGATCCTGATTTTCTAAAACCAATCATGATTTTGTAAAATGGGTTAATATACATTTACCTCTAAAATATGCATATTTTATCAATTTATCCCTAAAATATTAATTTTTTTTTCAATTTTATCTTGAAAATATTCAACTAATATGCAATTAGGCAAATTGACATCGCATTAACTTTCAAATTCATCCAATTAATATTCAACTTATCAAATCAATATTCAAAAACATCCAATTAATATTCAATTTATCTAATTAATACAAAATTGAATACTTTAGTGGCCAAATTGAAAAAATATATATTTTAGGAGTCAAAATGATAAAATATGCATATTGTAAGGATAAAAGTGTTATTTACTAATTTTAGGAATAAAATTGTAAAATAGTTTACCCTTGTTTGGATAAGTTTACCATTTTTTTCCCGTCAATTAGGACTGGTCTTAAAGCTTAGGAACCAAGCTTGGCGATCGTAGCTTAAATCAGGACCGATCCTATGACATGTTTAGTAATCAACCATTTAACTTAAATCAGACTGGTCTTAGTTGTCCTAGTGATCAAGATTATCACTTTCAAGGGTAAGTTATCACTTTTAAGGGGTAAATGATCACTTCTTGATGATAAGGTGCAACTATTTGGGTATAAGGTACCACTTTTTTGGGTATAATGTACCATTTGTTGGAGATAAGTTACCATTTTTAGGGAGTTAGGTACAATTGTTTGGGGGAGAAGATACTAATTTTTAGGAAAAATGTACCATTTTTTGAGGGTAGGTTATCACTTTTTGGGGGTAAGATACAACTATTTTGGGGTAAAGTAGTAGTTTTGAAAGTAAGTTACAATTGTTTGAGGGATAAGGTACCACTTTTTGGGGGTAAGATAATCTTTTGGACGTAAGTTCTAACTATTTTAGGGGTAAAATATCACTTTTAGGGGATAAATTATTACTTTTTAAGGGTAAGATACAACTATTTTGGGATATACCACTTTTTCGGAATAACTTACAACTATTTGGGGGCAAAATACCATTTTTTGGGAAAATGTATCACTTTTTTGAGATAAATTATAACTATTTGAAAGTAAGGTACCACTTTTTAGGGGTAAGATTTTACTTTAGAAAGTTACCATTTTTGTGGGATACGTTATCACTTTTTGGAGGTAAGATACCATTTTTTTGGGGTAAAGTACCTTTTTTTGGGAGAAACTGGTTGTGAGTTTTTAATGTACAAATATTAACTACTGAAATCCCTTACTTTTTTGGTACTATACCAAAAATGTAAAAGGTGATACCAAAGTTAACTCCTATTTATAATTATCAATTATTCAATTATGTCGTGTCGTGTAATATTCTGTCGTGTTATTTTTGTGTCAGGTTATTTTCGGCATATGTCGAATATGTGTTAATATTCGTGTCAGTAAAAAATTATTTAATTCCATAACAACTCGTATAATAATATTTAAAAAATTAAATTTTTTTTTTTTGTCTACAATACTCGTTAAATACTTATTTTATATCTACTGTACCCATTAATTATATTATTCGTGTTGAATCTTAATTTAACACATTTATTACTTGTGTCAACTAATCGTGTTATTTTTAAATTTTGTGTCAGGTTGAGTTCATGTTAATGGATAAACTTGACACCCCTAGGTTATTGCTTGTGGTTGTCATTTATAAAAGATCTATCAATGGGTTAATGCTAGTTGGTCGCTAAATAATTTCACATGTATTTTATCGCTTGATCAATGAAAAATTTTCCTCCTGTGCTAAAATGTGTCTTAATATGGTAAGAAGTTTTTGGATTTTCTGTCTATGAAAACATCACCTACCACAGAGTAATCTTTTGATTAAAACATGTTCACATTTTTTTAGCTTAAACTTTATTCTCTGAAGTTTTTACTAATAGCCTTTTTATATCATGAAAAATTAATAGTTTCAAATTTCTTATTTTTTTTAATACGTCACACTGTGTCCCAATTAAGATAAAAAAAATTGCATTAGGTGAGCTAGCAACTCCTATTTCGTAATTACTCATTCTTTGGAGGGACCAACTTAAGCTCTTCCTTACCTTTTCTTCTAGAAAAGTCCCTTAGAGGATTTCAACAGAAACAATTCAAATTTCCTATTTTATTTTTTTGAATACGTTACACTATGTACCAATTAAGATAAAAAAATTTGCAATAGGTTAGCTACCAACTCCTATTTCGTGACTACTTATTCTTTGGAGGGATCGACTTAAGCTCTTTCTTTATCGTTTATTCTAGAAAAGACCCTTAGAGGATTTCAATAGAAATAATTCAAATTTCCTATTTTATTTTTTGGAATACTTTACACCATCCCAATTACGATAAAAAAAATTGCAATAGGTGAGCTAGCAACTCCTATTTCATGATTACTCATTATTTGGTGGGACCGACTTAAGCTCTTCCTTACCTTTTTTTCTGAAAAAGACCCTTGGAGGATTTTGAACTATCTAGAATTTTCTTTCATTGATCCAAAACTTGTTCCTTTTAAATAGGGCATTTATTTATACCTTATAATTTTCTTGATCTAGATCGAGTCGAAACTCGAACCTATAGCTACACAGTCTCCCAAAGAATATCACACAGATTAGCATCTTCTTTAGTATCTAGTAGTTGTATTACGTAGTACAATCAACTAGTATTCCAATATCACAACACCCTCTCACAACTCAAAATACAAGCATGGTACCCACCAGAGCCACAACTAACCTGAGGGCTATGGCATCCCATAATGACAACTAAAAATCAATGTTGCACCAATTTAAGTGACAAAATTTGCTACCCAAATTATCAACTGTCGTTGAATTAGTATTGGATCTGAATATCAAATTAGGTCCACTGCTAATCCCACAACAACTGTGGATTTGATCAGTAAATTTGCTATGTAAATTTGCATTTTTGGTGCTAGTGGGTTTATTGGACAACTAACTGCTCCCACTTTTTTGTATCAAGTGCATCCTGCTTGTAATATATAAATATAGTCAGCAGAAACACCTAGCATTATTAGTTTCCTCCATAGTTTGTTACTTCTCTTTATAATGAAGAGCCTTCTCGATGAATTTATCAAAATTGTTATATGAAGATCCCCCAATAGTAGTAGCTTCTTCTGCTTTCTTCTTCCAGTCACGAGCTTTCACCCTCATCTTCTGCCCTTTCTCCCCCTCCATCATTTGTCTAACAAGTTCTTCAACTTCTTCTCTATTCACATCGTGATTGATCTCCATTCCAATCCCCCATTCGGTGCATGAGTATCGACAGTTCGTTTGTTGGTCGGCAAAGAATGGCCAGCATATCATCGGCACACCTTCACATATTGACTCTATCGCAGAGTTCCATCCACAATGCGTCAAAAAAGCACCAACAGCTGAGTGGGCGAGAACTTCATCTTGTGCACACCAACTAGCTAGCAATCCTCTATCCTTCGTCTCCTCCAAAAATGCTTGAGGCAACATTACCGAATTACCCTGCAAGATGTCTGGTCGAACGATCCATAAAAATGGTTGCTTGCTATTTGCAAGCCCCCATGCAAATTCTTGGAAGTGTTGAACAGACATTGTTGCCACACTTCCATAGTTCACATACACTACAGAGTCTCTCTCTCTTTGGTCTAGCCATTGAAGACAGTGAGAGTCTGGCTTCCATAAACTTGAATTAAGCGACTTGACTTCGCTCTCGGGCACATTTCTGCATAGCAGGTGGAGAGGCCCTATTGTGTAAGTGTTGGGATAATTAAACTTGGAAGTGAATGCCTCTAACACTTCATTTTCCAATGCATCGAAACTGTTGAAAATTATTGTAGACGCATTTAAGCAGTTCTGTGCTTCCTCTCCCATGAAGTCAAACATGATGTCATTCGGATTGGTGGTTCGTAGGAAGCTTGGAAGGTCCATAAATCGTATGCCTCTCATGCTAGGAATCCAATCAATAGGTAAATCGAGAGTCCCGTCGGTAAGGTAGCTTTCATCTGGGATGCATCAAAGTGAAATTGAGTTCGAGGATAATGTTTCAAGTGAGAAAACCATGCTGCATATATCAGCTATATATATACCAGAATTAGATCAATTCATGTGCTTTGCAAATATGACTCAATTCTACATATAATAGATCACTAATTGTGACTTCTTAGAAATAAATATTTTTGCATCAGGTTGTGATGCATTCAAAGGTGGGGTAGATGTATTTATTGCTTCTATGTGAGAGAGAGAGAGAGTCTGCAATTATTGGCCCCTAATTATAGGCTAAATGGTCACTATTAGTTTATTACTTAAAAAAATTAGATTGAAAATAATATAAACGTCGGTTTTTGCAATAACTTTTTTTTTAAAGAAAAATGAATCAGAGGTAGCTATGAATAGATCAAAAGATAATTATATGATCAAAAGATAACTATCATATAAAATGAAATTTTGAATAACAAAGAAAGATCCAAATATACATGACCATCAATCTTGGAATGAATATTGGAAAAGTCCAAAGTTAGTCCCTTTTTCCTGGGGTTCTTGGTTCCTGACAAACCATCAAAACCTTGAAAAAGACGGCCACTACTCTAGAGCATGACTTTGTAAGCCACATATTAGTTTTTCTCAATTTTGTCTGATTTTGTCAATGCATTGGCGTCAACACCTTGGTGCAGCAATAAGTGATACAGTTATTTGGACTAATCTCAACTTAGATCGAAAGATCATTTGAATTTGAATTAATATTTTTTAAATTTAAAAATATTAATTTATATCTTAAAAAATATAAATACGTATCAGTGTATATTTGAGATTAAATACCATCTATTTAGCCGTTAAAATTTTTTTGGGTTAATTATAAATTATACCCCTCAAAGTTTAAATATTTCAATTAATGTTCCAAAAAAAATTTCATCAATTAATACTCGTTAAATAGATTTTAATTGTATAGTATCATAATATTTTCGTTTTGTCTTTGAGTCAATAAAGAAATATTTTTAACACACAATATTTTCATGTCAACTTAATTACGTTGTGTCATATATTTCACATTTATGACATTCATATAATACTATTTAATATTTTTAAAAACTAAAAAAATATTTATTTTTTTATCTATAATACCGGTCAAATAACTATTTTCTGTCTACAATTATATTATTCGTATCTAATTTTAATTTGATCGAACAATTAAAAGATTTAGCCATTTAATGAGTATTACAGACAAAAAATAAATATTTAAAAAATGACTGGAAGGATCGAATCAGACTCTTACGACCTCACAAGAACTGGCAACTTGTCTCCACTGATACCACTTGCAAACTTGAATCCTCACCCCTTTGTTGAGTGGTGACGAATTACCCAAGCTAAGCTTGGGATGCTCTCATAATCTAATACTCTATTAAATCTAAATTAATAATACTATTTAAATCTAAATTATTGACGTAATTTTTTAAACTAATTCATCATAATTATTGCAGTAATTACGGATCTTAACAAATAGTGAAACTCACTATAAATTTAATAATTATAAATAAATAGACTAATAAATTAAATCGATAAATTAGGTGTAAATAAAATTGCTCAATCTAAATTCCCAAATCACATGATACTATGATAGACAATATAAGGAACAGTAGTTCACTTACTTTTAAAAGGGAAAATCCCCCTTTTTATAAGTTCACGATAATGCAAGTATCCCATAAAGGAGCAAACGGAAGCAGTCCAGAATTGAACTTCTGGAATGCCCATATCTTCACCAGCTTTTATGCCAAAGCTCATAACTCCATCAGAAACTATACATGTAACTGGAGGTACGTTATGAGACGAATTCAACTTAGCCAATAGCTCCTTGAAAGGAGCCAAACAATTCTTTCTAGTCGAGTCACATAGCTTTGGCACATCTTGTGTTGCATCAACGTCCGATGGTGGCATTCCATCCGGTATCGTCTCGAACTTGAAGTCAGGCAAGCTCTTCACTGATTCTGGCCCTTTCGACTTGATCAAACGTCTATGGTTAAATTCAGTGTTGACAAAGGTGATATGAAAGCCTCTGGAGTGTAGAAGCTTGGCAAGTTGCATCATAGGGGTCACATGGCCCTGGGATGGGTATGGGACCATTACTGCATGAGGTTTTCCACTTCCAACATAACCCATTTTTTTGGCAAGAAGGGAAGCAAATTTAGAAGGCTTGTACAAGCTATAGATAAAAAGTTTGTGCTACATATATTGGAGGAGTACTGTAATCCTGACCGTTGGATTGAGAGTGAGATGGGATGACAAGAATATTTCGAATCAATGAACTAGACAATAGAGAGAGAGCACCATGCCATTATGTTATTGTTGACCATATGCCTTCCTTAGACAATCATCTCATGGCAGCTGTTCAATTTACTTTCATCGTTTTTCTTTATCGACATCAGGCATATCCATTATGTACATTGGGATATGCATTAGCTGTCGTGCTTAGCAATTTTACCAATTTGGTAAAATTTTGTGGTATTTGGATGACCTATAAAAAATATTTTTAAGACTTTATGATTTCTCATAGTTAGTTTGATAAAAAAAAAAAATAGTGTTTGATCTTATTTATTTAAATTATTTGCATATAATCAAAAAAGTTTTACCACTTATATAAGTCTATAAGTATACACAAAAACAAAAATAAAAAACTCTTCTAAAATCACTTACATGTAAAACACTTCTCATTTTTATGTTTATTACCATCATCCACCACCAGCGATTCGCCACCACTAAAATTCACTATAAGAAATAAGGGTTTTAGCTAATAATTATTCCCTAGTAAATTTTTTGTTGCTTTCTTCGATGATTCCGAAAAAAAAAAATTCATAGGTAAAAATTGGGTTCTACCAAGGATTATTTTGCCAGNGTAAATTTTTTGTTGCTTTCTTCGATGATTCCGAAAAAAAAAAATTCATAGGTAAAAATTGGGTTCTACCAAGGATTATTTTGCCAGCAATTACATTCTATTTCGTGACCAATTATTTCAGTTCTTCGGTAATAAGCATGAGAAATTACACTTTTCCGTAGAAAAAATGTACTTTTACCAACAATATTATTCCTTGGGAAAAAGCTGCATATA